TGTACAACAACACTTGCTTGTACCTCATATTCTTGAACTATGATTTGGATTTTACCCATGGTATAATAATACAAGGTAATGTCGTGTGAACTTAGGATATTTTTGCCCTAACGTTTTTAAATATTTTCTCAGCTGCTGTGTCTTGACAGAAATGTTTTCGTACTCTCGTCGTTTGATAAAAATGTGGTATTTTAGGCCCTAGGTCTCTTTGAACGTCTGGTTTGCTTTTGCGCACGACAACTCTCAAAAGGAGTATCCGACTTCGACCAAAGATAGAAAATAAATTATTATCAAATTTAGATCGAGCTTGGACATGTTCAATATCGGTCTACTCCTTCTGGTCAAAGCTTAGATGGGGGATGCGGAAACCACTCATAGCTAGGGAAACAAGTCCACCATTCTCTTCAAACTTATCCGCATAGAATTCGAAAAAGTATTAAATGTTCCTTAAACTCTGCACCTCCCAATATTACTATCCGCATTAGATAATGTTTGAAATTGGAATACCTTTTTAGGCACCTCCCAAGTTCAAGAGTTCAAGTGAAGAAAGAAGACGATATAGTCCAAACCTTTCATATTGTAATACTCATATCAAACATGGGCCACTTACGAAATGTTGAGACTAGCGATCTGTAACGAATAGCCTAATCGACTCAGCTCCTCGAGACATCGTTCACCAAGTTCGGTGTACGACCATTATATCTCTGTGTTAAAAAAACCGTTGAGCAGAAACCAATTTATACTACACGCCTCATAGTTGTGTGGGCCATGTTCGGTTATACATATGTCGACATTGTTTGTTCGCGCCGTGTCACTTTGGCGGTGCCACAAAAAAGACATTTTTGGTTGGTCATGCATACAACAAGAACAAATGCAAACAATATTTGAACCTAATACGATTTGCATAATTATGACGCATTTCCATTCCTCATTCCCACCATTCGCGACGGTTTGTGGCTAGCACAAGCATTAAATTATACGCGACGCTCTTTATGCAAATAATCAGCGAGTGCTCGAGCTCCATTGGAGGAGGAGTGCAGGGGTGTGTAGCAAAAATAACGCTGCGAAAGCGGAAGAACTTTCGCTACCACTCCGAGCCTTATCGGCAGTGAATGGAAAATATGTTGGCAGCCAAACTAACAAAAATGACAGTCTGGTCGTGTTTGCTTGCACTCGTACTCACTCGTGATCCCATGTCTCGTGACACCAATGTGGCAGTCTGTGCTGCAGGATGTGTGTGTGTGTGTGTTTGTGTGCGAGAGTTTGTGCGGGTGTAAGCCGATATCCCATCGCTTACACACTTTGAGCATGAATGCATGCATAATAATAAAAAGGATAACAATATAATCAGCTTAATGAGTGCGTTTTAAGTCAGCTTTACACTTCCACCACACCACACAACACAGACACAGACACAACCCCATACACACATGCACACACGCACACACGTTCAAAAGTGTGAGCACACTCATGTCACTACGGTTTTTGTTGGTGTTGACGGTTTCGTGGTGAGCTTAACGATATCAACTTCAAAGTCTTACAATGAATGAATACTTTTGAACCCGCTGGATATTTGGCCGTACGTCTGTCTGTTTGTCTCCTGCAGTTCTTTGATGTTGGCACATTGTATGTTCATGTTTTGGTGCGAGTGTTGAAGCACCCCAGTAAACAATTTTTTCCGACTGCTCTGATTTTAGATTTTTTTCCGAAATTTCTGACGTTTTTTTCAGAAATTTCTGATAGAAATTGGTCCGATTTTCTAAACGTTTTTTTTTAGAATTTCTGCACATTTTCCTGTGTTTTTAAGCGAAAAAAACTCGAAAAATGTACAAACGGAGAGAGTAGATTGTCTATTGCTCTGGCATATTCTCTCCCACATGTAAACGGATGGTGGTGGTTTGACACATTCTCTCCCATAGTAGTTGTTGTTGTGATCATTCATTTCAAGATCTCAACAACAACAAAGCGCAAAGCAAAAATGCTATTTGTTATTGTGAACTGTTAGATTTTCTGTTGTAAAAATGTGCGTTTTGTTGTTGTTGTGAATCAGCCTCTTTCTCTTTCGTTCCCAAAAAAATATGATGGAAAAAAATTGCAAAAACAACTACATACCGGTTTTCTGTGTGCACTGCTTTTTATTTTTAGTTCTTGTTTAGCAGTTGAAACAGAAACGTGCTACTGTATGTTATGTTCCTAATAAAAATAATATTTATAATGTAAATGTATTATAGATGTAATATCTAAACTACATTTTTACGAAACCCGAAATAAATTGTTTGTTTTTTTAAATAAATATGTGTTTTGTTTTTTCATTTTTAAGTGGTGTGACGATTTTTTCGATATTTCTTCCGAATTCTGAACGATTTCTTTCAGAAAATCGGAACTTTCTCCCGAATTCTGAGCGTTTTTTTTTTTCAGAAAATCTGAATTTTATTCCGAATTTTCTTTCGAATTCTGACCGATTTCTTTCAGAAAATCTGAATATTCCGCCGAATTTCCAGACGAATTCTGCCCGATTTCTTTCAGAAATTTGGAGTTGTCCTCCGAATCTTTTCCGAAAATCTAATTTTTTCTCCTATTTTTCAAGAATTTTCACCGAATTCGGACCGAATTCGTCCAGAAAATCTAATATTTTTTCAGAAAATCTTTCCGAATTCGGTGACCACGTCCATACAACTTTCGTACCGAAATCGGAAGGAATTCGGAATCAGAATCGGACATTTTTTCAGAGATTCTGACAGAAATCAGACCGAATTCGGCAAAAATTGTTTACTGGGACGTTGCTGTGTGTGTGTGTGTGTGTGTGTGTGTGTGTTAGTACATGGGAAAATAATTCTGAGGACCCAATGCCAGAGAACACATATGCTTTTGTTGCAACAAATCATTTAAAGAGCTGCACGTGATGAGAACTCCCTGTGAGCGATTGTTCATACCATTCATCTGGCTACGAAAGAAAAGCGACTTTCAATCAAAAGCGTTAAAATTAATTTCGATGGCATTTTGCATTTGCTATCAATACGAAATCGTTCAACTAACAAACAGTTTAAAAAACAAGCAACCAAAATGTGTTTAGCCACAACACAGTAACAGCAATACAGCCCCCAGTGGGCCGTTACGTGAATTGACATCACGTGCCTGCCCACTTCAAGTCAAATAATAAAGCACCTGTTTTCCAAAGAGACTAATAAAGATTAGATCGCGCTGATTAAAAACTACATTTTCTGTTGCTTTAGAAATAGGTGAATAACAACTAGGTTTTTGGCGGAAAGCAGACATTTATCAATTTGGAATGTCGAGCCGATATCATGTGTGCATTTGGGCAAATATGATTCACCTGGCCAGGCTGATAAGAATCACCACAGTATGAAGTTATTCCGAGTCTATGCAAAATAAGTCTCAAAATACTTTTGTCTTTATCGTGGACTTCAATGTCAAAATGAATGTGGTGTTTATCCCACTCTCAAGTATTTTCATAGACGACAAATAGACGAAAAAGGAGATTGACAACTCAACAAAATCAGACGTCGAAATTCAAATTGCAAAGCAAGAGAGAAGGACCAAAAAAGCAAGAGCGAAGGACAACAGAGAGGATATGGCGAAGATAATCAAATCAGAATTGAAAAACAATGCCAAATGTCATGGTGAGCACTGTCGGGCTGTTGCACGAATTCCCGGGTATTGAGTTTCAATGCAAGCGAAGAAAAAATCCACTCCCACCACAAAAAAAGGAATAAAGTCTCCTGTCGAAAATGACAGCCTCCGTCTGGTTAATGCATTCACAGTCAGTAACGAGCGTAAATATTAGACACTGCGTTGGGTGGGAATGGTTTGTTATAACAAGAACAACAACAAGGTCACTGTTATTTGACGTCTAGCCATGGCTGAGACGGGGTGTAAGATTGAATTGCATTTGTGCTGCGAATTTATGTGGTCCATAGGGCCGAGGAGTCTGTTCATTGTTAAACATTCTTTTTTTTTGTTTTTGTAGTTTACCGGTGTCATCCTTGTACGCGCTCCGTTTTTTGTTGAGCTTTGTTGCTTAAAATCAATTTAAGTTGATTCTTTTGTTTCCAGTTTCGAGCTTCGATACACCCCGATACGCTCGACTTGGAAGGCATCTCGAAGATGCCAATCTAACCGATATACCAACAAGGCGCAAACAGCTCGGCATGCTATTAACATGGCAAGTAGATAGTTCGCTGTCTTCCGCTGTAGTTGTCGTCACCAGCAGTTCTCTTGATTTCATGTGCCCGCTCCTTCCATACTCACATATATTTGTGTGTAGTAGTAGTAGTTGTCCTGTTGTGGAATTTTTATGAGCTGACATTGCAGCACTAGTCGCTACTTTAAATATGATGCCAAACACTCTTTCATTTGTCTCGTTGACATCACTCTGCCACCTACCTCATCTTATCATCAGCTGGCAGAATGTCCTTGGCATCACTACTTCAGGAGTTGACTAAGGACACCGATGTGTGTTTGTACTGATGTGCATAGAGCACAGAGAAAATATTACTCTTGCTTAGACAAGCGGCAGAGGCCAACAATTCCAAGCCCAGTACCGGCTGTTGCAACACTGAGTATCGTGATAGTCGCGTCGACACAACGCTCACTTTTACTCACAAACGTGGGGCAATACAAAAGGGTCCACTGGAAGGAATTTCATTACAACATACCGGACTAGAAGTAGGAACGAACAAGGGTAGCCGAGACAGTTATCCGGCTAGGAGTTCAGGTTAAATTGGAAAATTCCATTACATTCGTCCAAACATCCATCAACCCATTCTCTGTGCTGCTCTGGACGAAGGTTGTTTACACTGTCTTAACGCTTGCCGTCAACCACCAGGTATTAGTCACACAAATCAGGTGTGTCGACTCATCAACAAGCCAGACGAGTTTTTCACGACCAGCATAGAATGGATACCCCGCCTGATATCGTATCGATAACGAGCAATTATGGCCTGATAAGAACCCAGTTGGATAGATCGGTGGATGCCGTTTCGATTCAGCCAGTAAGTCCCTCCGTGTCAGTCTTATTTCAGTTCTGCACAAAAGGGCTGCAATAGCAAGCGATATCGGTAAGATGACAAACAGTGGAAATGTTTTCGCAATTTTGCTGTTTGTAGGCATTTTGGCTAATGGACAGGCTGCTGTACGCTGGAGTTGCGAGGCGAACGCCACTGGGCAGGCAATCGATGTGGAACAGGTAAATGTGGCAATAACTGACTCGACAGAGTCAAGTCTCTCTATTGAAGCGTCTTCGTGAATTTTAGTTGTCCGGTTCCTGGTACGAGGTTGCACGACTACCGCACAGCGATATTCCCGCCTGTGTGGAAGTTATTGCTCCCACTTCCATTGAGAAAGATATGTACACCTTGAAATTGGATTACATCAACAACGTGAACAAGGGTTGGAAACGGGTGCAGGAAAACATTGAATTTCCCTGGGACGCTAATACACAGAAAGGAAAGCTGAACCTAACGTACACTGGCGATGACACAAACGTCACGGTCAACTTCGTTTACATGGGCACCTTAAACAATCTGACATTGGTTTGTGGCTACGCTGGTTTAGCTCCAAGTGTCTCCTTGCTTCGAGTCTTAAGCAGAAATAGGACAGTGGAGTACAGAATGCAGAGGGAACTGGAGACGTTAATGGCTGATTTCGGTGTTGATGCAGCTGAAATAACCTGGGTGGAACAGGGGTCAAAGTAAGTGAGAGGTCCTGCAACCCATTTCATTTTAGTGTAACTACTGCTTCCCCCATTTCCCCTTTTAGATGTAACAGTGGTCCCTCAGTGTCATCGTCCATTTTCGTTGTACTGCTGACAGCTGTAATGGTTTCCATGGAGAAAGTGCTCAACATCGACCATTAGACGGAGTAGAAACCATTTTAGTTGTAAGCCAACCTAAGTCGCAATTATGAGAAAATACTACGCCGGTGACTACGATAACGTTATCGATTACAATGTATGTAGGTATATAAGTCCCGCTATCATAGGAGTAAATCGCAGACACACTCAGACATCCATGCGAACAGCCAACCGCCCACCCATCCATCCCCATAACACGAACAACACAATAAAATGAAAATACAACAATACATTGAATGAATGAATGTTTATTTGGATATCGTGAATAATGTTTGGAAGTAACAGCAGTACCAATAGATATCACCTGTGGCACGGTGAAGGCAGTGAAGGTTACCCACCAATTTGACATAGTTTCTCGAACATGAGCAGAGAACATCCCAACCGATGTACTCCCGCTACATATGGATAGAAAGAGTAGTGATACATGTTTACACCCATATATGTATGGGGTCGAACATAATTCGGCAGGGAAATGTGACAAGAACAGTGATACCGGACTGTAGTTCATTCAGTTTAAAAATAGACACGGCGGTACTGCGGCATTTCCGAAAGATTTCTACGCATATGGGTCAGCTTTCGGAACAGCCTTTTACGCTTGTAAATACGTCTGTGATGAATGGCGCCACATGGGGAGCATGCGAAAACGTAGATAATTAAGTTTATGTGCCTTTGGTACATGAAGCACTATGTTACTGACATTTCGGGGGGTGTGAGTTCGCCGATATGGCGGCCAATAAACCGATACTAGCGTATGGAATTGTCGGGGTTCGAGATCTACAGAACAGTTTTAGAGCCGAAAATATTTGTTGCGCAAAGACGAATAATAATGAATATGAATATTGGACAACACAACATGTATACAGGCGATATTCAATATCAACTTGTTTTATTTTAAAAGACTCTGGCGGCCTGAATACATTTTTCAAAACAATTCTTTTGGTGGACAGCTAATCATGAGGTTGCGATCGTTGCCTTATCGGAGTTAAATGTTGTTGCTTAAGCCTTAAAAAATGCCGACATTTAATGGAACCCCATAAAAGGCATACCAGGTATTAAACCTGACCATTTTAAAACAACAAAATAAATATTGAATCGTAACAAATAAAAATCCAAAAACTGCTCTATTAGTTTTTATTTATGTATTTCTACCAATACTCGGCGTTATTAACAATTTAGAACAACTTATGTATGCGGCCAAGAATAAAGACGATTAATAGATAATATTTTAATGAATGTTTTTCCCACTTTGGCTCCCTAAAACGATTTGGTTGATTCCGAGGTGATTTTATGGCATCTGAGTAGCTTCATTTTGGAATACATTTTTCAATAACATTTTGTATATAAATGTAGCCAATATTGTTAAAAAATCATAATCATCATTGATCTATTCAAAGATTTCAGGACCCCATGAGACTTTGTCTGAGGAAAATTAAAGAAAAGTAACGCATTTTCATTTTTACAAATGTTTGTCGGTGGCAACCATGGTTAATTAAATGCAAACGCTTAAATGGAAAGAACGCAAAAACCATTGGTTAGAAGCTAAATGCGGATGTAGATTGCTAGAGTGTTTTATTTTTCAAATACCTTCACGAAATTTTCATTTTACTTTGAAACTATTTTGATTTAACAAAAACACCTATAAATTAAAAAAATATCAACTTATTAATAGCCGCTGATTCGGTTTATATGCCCACATTAAATGTCCTGATATCGCGATAAACGAATTCTGATAAGAATATTTCAACTATTTCCACTCCAAGAATAAAATCGGATAAAAGAGACGACGAAGTCTGTCAACAAAACAACATCTGGGCAATCGAAAAACACAAAGTCTGCCGTCAGACGTGCGTTACAAGTGAGCGTGAAGACACGAATACGAATGATTTTGTCGATGTAGCCGATTGCACTGGCCGAAATTATATTTTGATTGGCAACGCAAAAAACCATAGCAGTCGGCAACGTGTCATTGGGAGAATTTCAAATTCTCTCATTCGGCCGAATTTTAATGAATTCAAATTTAGAGAGAGAGAGAGGGAGCAATGGAAATGAATCGAAATGTTGCAGTGAATTTGTGGGCCCTGCAACATGTTGAAATGGATACAAGTTGCCGATGTGGGATGCCGGAAATACCAATAGCGTTGAATTTATTAAAACATAAATAATAAGTGTATCTATCAAATAAAAGAAAATCATTTCTTTTCGATCCATTTATTGTTGTTCTAAAACATTTTGAGCTGGGAAATAGAGGCATTTGTATAGCTAATCTTTTTAGCCATGCAATGCCTCTATTTCCCAGCACACAATTTCTATATAATCAAATTTATCAATTCGACCGTTTCGACAAACATTTATTCAAAATTGTCCAAAGATTTTCTTTGCGCGTGTTATATGAGGGGACATACTCACAATTTTTTTCTGAGGGCACGGTACCCCTTACGAATTTGAATTGTCAATTTTAGACCAATTATGTTGAACCTGTGGCTGGGTATATTAGACAATTTTTATTTAGTTTAAATGTGTTCCAAAATGTATATCAAATAATTTCAACATGTTACGATCATTGATTTCAATACCTCAATTTCGATATTTTGTAATTGTGTAATCTCTCTCTAGTTTCTTTTGAAACTGTAAATTTCACAAACAATATTTCCGACGAAACAATCACATTTTATGGAATAACTTTTCAGAACTGCAAACGTGAGGCGAAAACAGAGAGTCCGTAATAAACCAGAGTCTGTAATCAGCACTGGATTTAATAGTTTAAAAACAAAGCGAAAACTACCGTGTATTCTTCAATATAATTGAGTGTTCAATGAAAATGTAGGTATCCATTCGAAATATTTCGGGATTTAATATTGGACATTATTTATGGATTTTAGCAAAGTTTTCTAAAAAATTGTTCAATTCCTTATCAAGAGTTCGTAATGGGTGGCACATCACTGTTTATATAGACCCCATAAACCGGTACCTCCAGATATTCAGTACTCTTATGATTTCGAAGGAAAGAATTCCCAACTGGGTACTTTATATTCGCGGTAAACACCATCTCGTGAAACAGAGCATAGCCTATATAGGTGTACATTGTCCTATTCCCTATAATGGTACTTCTTATTGTTTTTAGCCACCTTTTCCAATATAGTTATTTCAAATTTTGCATAGCATGGTCTGGAGATGAGGCTAAACTTATCTATTCTAAACCTATATATTGTTTTAAATTATAATTCATATAAGAAAAATATAGAGAAAATCTTTGTCAATTATTACCCATGGAGATAAAAGTAACCAAATCATTTTCACGATGTCGAGGATTAAGTATACAATAAATAATGTTTCATCATGCACAGTTAGGTATTGAAAGATGTGTCGCATAATCTCGACCTTAATATACGACATTTTTCCATCAAAAGATTGATGTGTGTTTTTTCTGCGACATCAAATTTTTTATCTTATGACATTGGTTGAGTTAATCAACGACGATATGATCTCATGTGACAGTCCCGCCATATTGGTAAAGTCTCTCTTATATGTATATCCTAATCTGGTTGTTCATATTCCCAGTCACCCCTTCGCATCCTCCGATAATGCCACATAATAACTTTTTTGTATGTTCTAGTTACAATTAACGAATTCAACCCGGCCAACAACTTTTACTTCATCCTAAAAGTATACCATGTTTTGGTGCAAAGTAAGCAATAGCCGGATTACTTGTCTCATCTTGCCGCTGCACTGGTGCAATCGAAACCTAGAAGTCAACATAGTTTCACGGCTATGCGAGGCATGAATGCAACGCATTCATAAACAAAAACGCCTTTATAAGCAGCTTCCATGCCATAACGGCAGCCTGATGGAGGCAGTGAGGGAGGGTGCCAGTCCGTGCCAAAACAAAGGAAAACAACCGAAAAGAGCTACAAATTCCTGGGCGTTCTTGTTTTTCTTTGTACTGGTGCTGTACTCTCAATTCCTCAGTTGTTTTTTCGCTTGTCTTCTTGTTAAGCTTGAGATGTTGATAAGTTTTGCTAATTAACAAAAATTTCGTTCGCTAATTAAATTCTTCACTGAGTATAATGAGTGAACGGCGAGCAGGAATGGGCGTAGCGGTCGCAAGGCGAATCGAATCGCCCACGGCCAAGAAATGACTAGTGGCGAACACGGAACATGTCATGCTGACACAAACGGACACAGAAATATGGCAAGCTTCGAGAGGCAGCTGATGCTTTATCCTATCACTTGACTTAGTGTTGAGTAGCGGAGTGGAGTCGAGTCGAGCTGACTCAAAGAAGCAAACAAACAACGGCAACAACCAAAATAACCGCCGCCCGCTTTCGCGTTGTTGCTTCATAAATCATATCCCTGCTTCCAGGGCGAGTTGTGCGGCATGGTCTTGGCTGGGCTGAGACGGATACTAACTGGAGAGCATTTCGTTTAATTATCAATTCAATTTGTACGGCTTTGTGCAAATGCGAAAGAGCAAACAAGCCATCCATCCATCCATCCATCCAGCAAACAAACTTGGCAACAAAGTTTCCTTATTTTACAATTCTCAGCTACGTTTTTTCGTCCTCGTTGGCCTCGCAATAAGCTTTAAGTATTTTGCAAGCAATTCATTTGATGCCCCAAACACCAACCTCTCGTTTTCCGCCATTATCTTGGCCATTGAGATCCATTCATTGCTGCTAAGTTCCTCCTGCGAAACATTCTAAAACGAACTCGAAGCAGGGTAGGAAGAAAGAACAAAACGAAAGGAAAACGCACGAAATGAAAAACATTTCAACAACAATGCCCAAATTGCATTGTGCCCGCACCGAAATAAGGAAGCCAACCGACAATGCAATATTTGTGGCGATTGCAACAGGACCCTTGCAAATCCTTTAAATAACTTATCATCTAGAAGGGAACTAGCACTCGTAAATTGGCCAGCGTTTCCACCATTGCAACGGCAATAAATGCGAGCTGAGGCAAAACTATAAAAGATGGGTGGAAGCGTTATAGGCCAGAGGGAGAGAACGTTAACAATTTGCCACAAATCCTGCAACATTGACTGCAAGGACAACACGAGTTGTGCTGCTATGCCATTCACTTGGCTATTCTAACACATTGCAATACACAATCGATACAATCCAAGAAAACCAACCGGGTTTCCAAATAAAACATATTTTGTAATAAACTCTTCGAAATGAAAAGTGTCAGTGTTCAAAATAGGTGTCGCTGCCTTGAAACAAATTATTTAGGT